AGTACCAATAAAAGAAGTTCAATTACTGCATTTTATGGTGTAGTTCGTAACTTATTTTTTATGTCAATTTTTATTTAATGTACAGTAATTCATTTGATTTCGTAATAAATTAAATTAATAAATAAGTTGCTTCATCGAATTTTTTTTTTTTTAAACGTTTTTTCAGAAAACTTAGAAATTAGTGTATTTTGGCAGAACAGCTTTCCAATGTCTAAATAAATATTTATTCCTTCATAATGAATTTGTTACTTTTACAATAAATAAATGTTTATAAAATTTTGCATATTTTTCCAAAATTTTCAATACTTAAAAATAATTTTTTTGTACTGTACAAGTACAATAATTGATTTTTATTGTGTTTCATTTTTTAGCAACTTTTTTCATTCGTGATTGAAGTGATTTTTCGACTTAAGAACATTCTTCATACAGTTAATTAGGGAGAACTTTAGAGAAGTGAGAGGAACACTAATGTGTGCAGTAGAACTAGGAATTGTTTTTCTCATGTGGATGTACTCACATACATGCTTTTGCGCACACTTGATCCCCTCTTTTTGAGTTCATTTAAAAACAAACTTGAGGGTCTATTTGAAAATTCGATAGGTTTATCAAAAAATAATCTTTTGAACCCAAAAAATTGGAAAATTCCTACAAATTATATAAATTCCATTAAGGGAGTGCACTCGTACCTGTCGATTATCCAGATATTTCAGGTTATGTATCAGAACAGTACTGATTTTCATAAGACTGTACGTTAAAAGTTCAATAATAAAATTATCAATATCTCACTTTATAAGCCATAAACGGACTTGAATTTTGAATTGAAGGTTTTTCATACACTAATTTATCTCTGCCCAGAATATTATCAATGTATTGACGTTAATTCTCTTAGCGAGTGAACTCCCTTAAACGTTTTTTTTTTTATAAGGTTACATGTTAAATATCGATTTTTTTTTAATTAACACATGTAAAATAATGGTGTAGTCAAACGAGCTGCATTTTTCGTGAGTAAAATCACCAGAAGATTTGATGAAAGCGCACAGTCCTGTACTGGCCAGCCTATATATTATTTTTATTGTATTTTGCCACAATATATTGTTTATAATCGTTAACTTATTAAATATTAATTGATATCATACCCAATCAACGTAGGTATACTCATTCCCACGATGCAGCACCTTCGTACACAATATTGTTTTCTATAAGTTGTTTTTAGACTCATAATTATATTGTTTCCCATATAATTTTATAGAAGTGTAACTTTTTACTTGGATACACGTATACTCACTGCCCACTGGTCTTCGTTTCATTTATTTTTTTTTTATTTTGTTGTTAATGTTAAATTTTTTTGCTTAAATAATTGTAACGGCAAAAAAATATTGTTTAAGTTAAGTTAAAGTATTGTGTAATTTTTTGCTTTGGTCTCAAACTCCTAATCACCCACCCAGTATCCAACAAAAGTGTATCCAAGCTTTCTTTAAATCATTCAGTCTACTTGGGTTCAATCCCAAATACATTATCACCCAAGTGAAGTTGGGGATCCAGAAGATCAAAAAATGTAGTTCCTTCTTTTAACGTTAAATTTAAGAAAATTAGACGTTAACTAAATTTTAATGCCCACATAATGACCCAATAAAATGTTTGAATAAATAAAGTGGGCAAATTACTTCTATTATGCAAAATAAGTTTCTAAAACGATTTATCTTGCAATACCTCAGAAATAAAGTATTGTAGCGAGAAAAGTGAACTACAACAGTTGTTCAGCTGATAATTGTACGTTTGAAAAATATGCAGCTCAGTTATAAAAAGCAAAAAATAATAGATGCGTAGAAAACATCATTTTTATTGTTGATATTTGTGTATTAGATAAGAATTTTTAACAAAATGCGCGAGGTCCATTTTTTTAAAAGCAGCTGTCGATCTATTGTATAATTACTAATTTGAAAGTTGAGAACGCTGTAAATCCTGTCACCAAAAATTAAACTTGAAACTTAGAGTTAACAATATTTTATATTAAGTTGAATCACTTTTCATTTTATAATTTCGTCAACTCGCAACATAAAGGTTTGGAATCAAGATCAATTTATGACGCCAATTTTTAATGGATTTAACAAAAAAGTCAATTGTAGGCCTAACCAGAGCCGAGATACGATACTTAAACATTTTTACTTATTGAACCTGATTTATTAATTGTAATCAAATAAAACTTGGATAAATTTTTTTGGAAGAGCCTAAAGATTTATGAAAATAATAACTAGATATTAATTGTCAGATTATTTGTTAAGAAATCGTTTGTTTAAGACGGTGTGTACGATGGCTTACGCATGAGGTTCCTCTGCAACGTCAACAAGATTTAGCACTACCACACTGCTATACGTATTGACATCGTCCTTTAATTTGGCCTACCCAGGGTCATTTGCATTTTTAAGTGCAAAATTAACTACTCAACAAAAAATGCACGTGTATGACTTTTTTTTGAAGTTATACTTCTATAGGCAAGTAATAAGTGAGGGTGAATCAACGATTCCGGATTCTGAAGTTGAGAAAAAGTGTGATAGAAGTGGATTTTGCTTGATTCTTACCCCTTTACCTCGTTTACCGTGACGTACTTCCGGTCTCCTACACACTACACAACGCCAGGATATTACAGCACACACACATTTTGACATTTTGAATTTTATTTTTTCTGACCAATTTCTAAAAAAAAAAAAAAAAGATTTGAACCCTCGATCTCTTGCATGTTTCACCAGGTAGAGGTCTTCACCCACTCTGCAACTAACAGTACCAATAAAAGAAGTTCAATTACTGCATTTTATGGTGTAGTTCGTAACTTATTTTTTATGTCAATTTTTATTTAATGTACAGTAATTCATTTGATTTCGTAATAAATTAAATTAATAAATAAGTTGCTTCATCGAATTTTTTTTTTTTTAAACGTTTTTTCAGAAAACTTAGAAATTAGTGTATTTTGGCAGAACAGCTTTCCAATGTCTAAATAAATATTTATTCCTTCATAATGAATTTGTTACTTTTACAATAAATAAATGTTTATAAAATTTTGCATATTTTTCCAAAATTTTCAATACTTAAAAATAATTTTTTTGTACTGTACAAGTACAATAATTGATTTTTATTGTGTTTCATTTTTTAGCAACTTTTTTCATTCGTGATTGAAGTGATTTTTCGACTTAAGAACATTCTTCATACAGTTAATTAGGGAGAACTTTAGAGAAGTGAGAGGAACACTAATGTGTGCAGTAGAACTAGGAATTGTTTTTCTCATGTGGATGTACTCACATACATGCTTTTGCGCACACTTGATCCCCTCTTTTTGAGTTCATTTAAAAACAAACTTGAGGGTCTATTTGAAAATTCGATAGGTTTATCAAAAAATAATCTTTTGAACCCAAAAAATTGGAAAATTCCTACAAATTATATAAATTCCATTAAGGGAGTGCACTCGTACCTGTCGATTATCCAGATATTTCAGGTTATGTATCAGAACAGTACTGATTTTCATAAGACTGTACGTTAAAAGTTCAATAATAAAATTATCAATATCTCACTTTATAAGCCATAAACGGACTTGAATTTTGAATTGAAGGTTTTTCATACACTAATTTATCTCTGCCCAGAATATTATCAATGTATTGACGTTAATTCTCTTAGCGAGTGAACTCCCTTAAACGTTTTTTTTTTTATAAGGTTACATGTTAAATATCGATTTTTTTTTAATTAACACATGTAAAATAATGGTGTAGTCAAACGAGCTGCATTTTTCGTGAGTAAAATCACCAGAAGATTTGATGAAAGCGCACAGTCCTGTACTGGCCAGCCTATATATTATTTTTATTGTATTTTGCCACAATATATTGTTTATAATCGTTAACTTATTAAATATTAATTGATATCATACCCAATCAACGTAGGTATACTCATTCCCACGATGCAGCACCTTCGTACACAATATTGTTTTCTATAAGTTGTTTTTAGACTCATAATTATATTGTTTCCCATATAATTTTATAGAAGTGTAACTTTTTACTTGGATACACGTATACTCACTGCCCACTGGTCTTCGTTTCATTTATTTTTTTTTTATTTTGTTGTTAATGTTAAATTTTTTTGCTTAAATAATTGTAACGGCAAAAAAAAATGTTTGAACCTCTCTATTTTCATATTTTATAAACAATAAAAGAACATTTTCTTTAGTTAATAGTGAAAAAATAATTGTTAAACATTTTTGAAATCTGATTTGATTGAAAGTAATGTCAATTTCTACCGATTCCCATTGGTGTTATTAAGATTAACTATCTGTTATATGATTTACATTATTGTGAAGTTTTAAACTATAAATTTTATAATAGGTCAAAATATTTCTTTTGAAAAAGTGGACTGGGTGCATTTTATTAACAACACATTTCTAATAATGGAGATATTACATGACAAAAATTGATTACTTCCAATTTTTTTTTCGTTTTTTACAACTTTGTCGTATGTTTGTAGAAAGAAAAAAAATTTTTCAATTCTTAAGAAAATGATCCCTACGTAAAATATTAAGCTTGACAAGTTTAGTGTACAACTTTTTTTGTACTGGGCTACAAAAAAACTGGCTTTTAAAGTTATTGCGCAATATAATAAGTTTCCCCAATTTTATTCTATCTAATTTTTTTGATGGGTAATTATTTGGGCGATGACTTTCAGTTTTTGTTTCATTTTGTCCACTTTTATTTACAAACAAAATAAAAACCTCTGGCTTTTTAATTAGCAGAAAATAGAGTTAAAATGTGGAAAAAAAATTTGTATTACTATGACGACAATTTTTCTTTTTGTACAGTTAAATAATAGCATACGTTTAATCATATTCTATTTTAATTGCATAAACCTTTTAACAACCATGTTTTCTACATAAAAAACATACTTTACCATCACAATATTGTTCTGTGACACAACACCGCTAATTATTTACTCAAAAATTACGTACATATAGGAATTTTACTCACTTGGGGTAGTAACATCCATTTACTACTATCAGTTACTAATATCGATTTCTGCAGTTTAGTATCTTTTGGCAACAAGGCTTTTATTGTTACAGCAGCAACTATAAATTAACAGTCAATTAGTTTGATAATTATAATAATGATAAGAATAATATTGATAATGATAAAAACCATCACAATAATATGTAATAGTGTAGCTGCATAAAATAGTTAAAAAAAGGCTTGCAAACCATAATTTATAAATATTTACAAATAACGTCAGTAACGTTATCGTTACCAGGATGATTGTTCTTACTTAGTTTTATAAATAGGTAATCCAAAATTTAATGAATAGTTTACAGTTAAAATACTTTAAAATTATGTTGTTAAAAGAAATAATTTCTGTTTAACCTAAAAAACTTTATGTTTATTACTGATATTTTGAATTATCAATAATTTGTTTTTCCTAAAATTATTTTGTAAAAATCTATTGTAATATTATATGAATATGAATGACCAAAAAAAATAGAGGTAATATATTTTAATAATACAGTTTTGTTGTAATTGTACATGGATACTCTTTTTGTAACTACAATATAAAGCATAGTACAGTTTTATATAAACAAGAATATAAGAACAAAAATCTTAGTATTAGATAAGCAACAATTAATCATAGTAATACATTTAATACTTTAAAGATTTATATTACAATAACATAATAAACAGATGTGAGAAAAACTTCTTGAACGCTTTTTTTGAAGCAATAACTTATTACTTAAATTTGGATTTGAAAAGAATTTTGTGGTCTGAGTGTTACTAAAAAAAACGATCCTTTAATAAAATTTAATCATCTTAGAATTTAATAACTACTTCATGTAATACTAACTTACCTGTATAGCTAATTTCTTATCCAACTTAAAGTTTTTTTATGTAACTGGCTAAATTACTGTAGTGCTGGTTTCTGTTGATCTCAAACTGCATCAGGCTGCCAAGAAAATCGTGGGCAACAGTACGCGATGACTTTGAGCTCCTAATAATAAGTGCAACAATGCTTTCACGTCACATTATAAATTTAGAGTTGCCCTTCTCCTAGATAATTTTTTATTCCTAAAGAGACTTAGTGTTACTAATACACTTGATATCATTAGTATTTATTGTGGATCCACCAAAAAGCTGCAATATATTTACCAACTGCTTATTTTGCTGAATTGATCAGCTTATAGCTAAATGCTGTAAGACTAGACTAATTTCTGTAAAATACAACGTACATAAAAAAAATGAAGAGTGATTACTACGAGTATTTCTGAAGAAAAAAACAGTGTCAGTTAAAATTTACATTGCTCATATGAATCTTTACACGCAAATGCGATTAGAACAAAGATGAAGGAAATGATGGGAATGAGAAAAATATAAGCAGAAACACTTCATCTAAAATCAAAAGGCATTTACAGATTTACGACTTCTTTTTCGATAAAAAACAATTTTTATTTTTTAGAGCCTAAGTATAGCTTAACCAAGATAAATAAGAACTTGAAAAAAAAAAATTTGTATCGGATCTACAACTTTGACCCTAAAAACTTTGTTCTCTATTATTAAATTAATATATGGTGCACTAAAAACCAGTTTTTATTATTTAGAATAGTAAAATTAAATCGTTGAAAATATGAAACTTACAGCCAACAATTAACCAGCAGAAAACTGTCTGTTCATATTCGGTACAGTACAAGTTTACTGTGTTTCCAACTCTACTCCGAGCCAGTATCCACAACTCTAAAAAGAATTCTTTATGAATTCACTGACGAACTTATGTTTGTATTCATAAAGTGTTTCTGAAGTATTCTTAAAGTATTCCTAGAGTATCTCACTTATATACCCTTTTTTAAGTTCTCTGAAAGTTCGCCAAGATTTCTTTTTTCTACTGTTTTAATCTATAAAGAGTTTTAAAAGTATTCATTTTGGTCCCACGGTACTAAAAAATAAAGTTCAAATGAAAAACTATTTCGTTGAGAAGTAGATTTCCTTCTGTAAGTACTAACTCCGACTTCCGATGTACGCTTGTATCTGAAAAAAAGGTGCTGACAAGTGGAATCGAACTCAAGCTAACTAGAGACCACGTGAGATACAAACATGCTTCACTACTTGACTATCATGAATTCAGAAATTCATAAATATTTAACGCCTACATTAAAAGTATACAAATGCTACACTGAGAGAAAAATATAATAATAATTATTGTGCTGGAATAGTAATCTGGTGTCACTCACCGTCTAGAGACTTTTGACTTGGCCAACCCTATTTTTACCATTTTGGACAGTAATTTCTATTGTACAATCAGTAAAAATCACTATACTGATAACAAAAATTAGTGTTATAAGCACTAAAAATAATTGTTCCAATAGTGAAAAGTCTCTAGATGGCCGAGCACTACTAGATTACCGTTCTAGTACAGTAATTTTTATTATATTTTTTTCTCTGTGTATGATCTTTGTTCTTTTAATTAGCTCATATACTTAGAAAAATGTGAGAGAAATCTCTTTGCTCTTCTCACTTCTTAACACGGTATCTTATAACTTTTTGTTACACCTGTACTTATTAATTTGTACATATAATAGTAACGTCATACTATCTGGATGATGTATAACTGTAAGTACATGATCAAACAACGCAAATTATGAAATAGGGTCTTGGAACATCTAATAAAAACTATTATTTACGCAAAATAAAATTGAAAAATGAATGTAATAATAATAGCAAGCCTTGATATTCAGGACAAACTTCAGAGCTTTGCCATAAACATAACGATCTTTTTACCATAAGATACACATAAATTTTGAAGCACAGACGGCTCACACGATTATCTTACTAATATATGAAGCAAAGTCGCTAAAACCGTTGTAATCGCTAACCACAAGAACTACTGAACCAATGTTGTTAAAATTTTGCATATCGATTCTTGACACTTCTTAGATGGTTTTAGTATAGTTTTTGTCTTAAAAAATTTAATAATAATAGCAATAAATAAGCTCAAAGTTTTGCAAAAATACGCCAGCTTTTCACTTTAGTTCAGTAGGATCCGCTGGGTGACGTCGACATAAAATGGGAGCTACCTGCAACGTAATTAAATAAATGTGGTTCTAATACGAAGGAGCGTCTTGAAAATTTCTGCAGTTATCTCCCAGCAGTTTATCGAGCTGCATCGAGCATATAGATAAGCCAATAACAGTCGTGCAGTCGAGTGTTCCAGTTACCGACGACAATCTTCTCCAATAGGCAAGTGACCTAGATCTACTTCCACCCTATACCTTCAGGATAAACGAGTACCACCTATAAAAAATTATTCTTATCGATAACGTCTCCGGCCGAATACCAGGAGATGTATCTAGCTAGAGCACAACCTGCTCCAACACTTCAGAGTAATGTGGCCGTTCCACCATCCCGCCTGGTGCTATCACTGCCGTCAGAGAAGATTTTACTGCAAATTTAAGCCAGGGAAGACAGCCCTGAAGAGTACTGGCAGCCTCAACGGATTCCTACTCAGTAGTCATCCTAACGGCATTCCCACAGAGAAGATATTCTCTAGGCCCACTTTCCTGACTAACGATGAGCGGTTGGTTATCCGGGGAGTGACCCGAAGACGAGATATTCTTTGGTCAGCGGCATACCTCCCTCCATGACGGTCTCCGTACACAGAGACTTCGAGGGTAAGAGTCAAGCTACCCGCAGCCAGCTCTTTATCATCAAGAATAATAATAAGTAATAGCTGGAAGTCTCACCACTGGCCTTTTTCAGTGCCATTATAAGTATTAACGTTCCCTACTTAACCATCAATCTCATCGTTTCTTTTTAGGATCCACCTAAGTGTAAACTACCTTGTCAACAAATACATTTTTGGTACCATTTCCGGCAACAGTTAGTTGACTAAAAGACTGTGTAAAGCTGGCCACCATTAAACCAAGTTAGTCATTCACTGGCAGATGTCACGAGCGGAGTTGTTTGTCGCAAGGCTGGGAACCCTGGTGACCGACGACCCTCTCGACTATAAGTATTACCTTCTCGACTCTAAGCATTGAACCAGGAATCACCGATTCTCTCCAAGGTCTGCGCTGGGCAAACCTAACAGCTATGAAGGGAAAAAAAACTTGAACCAACAGTCAAGCGTCACGAACCAATCTCTTCACCTTGAATCACCAAAACAACTGAGTTTGCAAAAAAAAAGATGCTTTAGACACCAACGTCTTTGGCGTTATACCAGTGGACGTGGAGAAACAGCTCTACAACTAGCTTTAATTGCTTCAGTCATTATAATTTTCCTCTTGATAAGTCTGCTGCTACAATAACAAACCAGAGAAGATCCTTCTGAGGTGTTAAGGCAGTTATTTTTGCTGGAAACTTCAGTCAAGAAAGAGTTTACTTAAGATGCTCACCGCTTTTTTTTTTAGGGCCATTAAACGTCGAACTACCTTGCCAAAAAATATATGAGAACTTACAAAGTTGATAAAAACCAGGCTTCAGAGCTTACAAAAATCCTAACCAATCCGAAAGTCGCAAGAAGGCGAATTGGAACTAAACTTAAAAATTCATCTAATGTATACAATTTTAGGCATCAAGAAAACACCACAAAACATTCATCGAGTTTGAAGCAGCAGCATGAAAATTGACAAATAAAGAGTAGTAAGTGATAAATTAGTTCTGTATTATAACCCTTACAGTAATCTCTTAAATTCTCCAACTTTTTAAATAGGCAGATTATGTATTTGTATTTTCATGGCCACAAAAATGTAGAGTTTAAGCTTGGTACCTTTGACAATACTTTCCAATACAATTAATTTTTTTTTTTTACTTTTTACAGCTTATTATGTGACTAATAAACTGTATGGATTCCAAACGAATATGTTTTTAATAACAAGACTTTTATTATGACAAGTGTGAGGAATAGTTGTAAAATTTTGAATTAACAACGTTTCACATTTCATGTCAATACAGTACAGCGTTTTATTTATTGAGTCTCGGGGGAAGCATATAAACGACACGGAAAACAAACTCCTTAAAAGTCTCAAAAGTTTAAAAAAATTACCTCTACGTCAAAATAAACGCTACGATTACACTTAATATTCAAACTTATCTCAAAAATATTTTAACACTGGGTACCAAGAAGGGTCTAAAATCTTGCACAAAAAGATAGAAAAATGTTTAGAAGAATAAAATCCTTAGAAAATCATAGAAGCATAAGAACGTACTAACAACTACATTAAAAACCTTAAATCACAAATAAAAGCAAAATATCAAATAATATTTGAACAATAACCAGTATCCCCATTGGAATTTAGTTTTTCCGGCAACCAAGAAACAGGAAATCCTGAATTGTCAAAAATCTTCGAAATCTGAAGTCACGAAATAAAAAATGACATTTCAAAAGCCAAAATCTGAAATCATGAAATAGGAAATTATTCTACCAACGCCCAAAGCAAAAATCAAGATACAAAAACTTCTGTAACAAACTCTAAAACCCAAAATCCGAAAAATCAGAGCACAAAGAACCACAAAACAAAAATGTGAAAAGTAGGTAAACCATAACAGTTCTTGCAACCCCCCAGCTCCCCCCTGAGGTAGTGGTGGGGGGAGAGGCTCTAGCTATAGCTGTGGGTGGAGAAGAGGCAGTGGAGGAGAGGTGGTGGTGGGGGGAGAGGCTGATCGGGCGGTGGAGGAGAGGCGGTGGCGGGGGGAGAGGCTGATTGGGCGGTAGAGGAGAGATGGTGGTAGGGGAGAGGCTGATCGGGCGGTGGGAGGAGGAGCACGGGCGGTAGGGGCGGTGGGTGGTGCGGACTACTCGGATGGTAACGTCACGGAAAGGGGGCCTCTTCCGGATGCTGTGACGTCGGATGGTACTGACAGCTCCCTTCCTTTCCGACCGCGAATTCGAAAGCGTATCCCAACATTGCTTGGCTTACTCCTCTTCACCGCAATACCTCGCCAACGAATAGAGTCAGTTAATACGATAAAGTAATTTCA